GTGGTTGAGGTGAGGTTGAGTAGGCTTAAACAATGGGATTCTATCACTCCAGATCCTCTCCCGGCATATCGATATTTGTAGAGAGTCCGAATTAAGCACAGTTGTCACAAATAGCAGCTGCTTTCTGGGATAGTAACACCCACCAGTCTTAGGCAGACTGGGTAATGTACTAGACCTTATTCTAAATATAACTTTAAAACATAATGGGGGAGGTGTGTGTGTGTGTGTGTATATATATATATATATATATATATATATATTTATATATACACAATTCTAAATATATGTGACAAAATAATATTTGTGACAATCTGTAAGTCAGGACTATTCATTTAGATTTAAGGACTTCATTAATATGTATACCACAAATCAGCTGACTTACATCTCAACACATTGTAGTGTGAATAAATCTTAATAGGATAATTGCATCTAAATGAAATAATTTCTAAACGACTTTCAGAATACCCAATAGAAACATTTAAACAGCCCTGCTGTAAATCACCCACCAGTATGTGACCCGCTTGCACCCCATCCATCTCACTTCATCTTAGATTAACAGCTAATTGCTTTAAATTGCAAAAGCAAAGCAAGTCTATGGGCTCAGCACCAACTTACATATATCAGTAACAACATAGCCACTGGGTAAGAGGAACCACGCAGGTTCTGGTCCCAATTTAAAAGGACAAAGGGAGATGTGTGTGACAGGCCGGGTCAGGGAGAGTTCACTCGTTTTTACTTGAGAACACATGCAGAGAAATATCTGATTGCACTAATAGTTTTTATTACTTTTAACATGTATTCACTTAGCTAAACAGGTGAAACTGATTTGCGCCAGGTTTTACAAGCCCAAGGGCTGAGATAAAGATGGGGTTTGCTGTGACAAGCTCGATCTTCTTCTGGTTCTCATCCCACTGTGATATTTGTGAGAAATTCAATTTGAGAAAGCACCCTTTTCAACTTTCAGAGAAACTAGGATGCTGGAATCAAAACCAGATGTACTTATCAAGGCTAAAAATAACAAATATTCCGGAGGACCACCAGAGCAAGGGATAGAAAGAATCTCATGAAATTCTAGAACAATGCATACTAATCTTCACCACACCACTTGGTCTGAAGTGAGAGGATTTTTGTTTTAACAATACTGAACAACATCACAGCATTGTACAGCGGTCATTTGAGAGTGTTTAAGTGAAACCAAAGCTTGTCTGCTCTCCTCCTGTGTTCTTTTGCTCCCTTCCAGGAGCTGCCAAAGACCAATCTGTCCAAGAGTGCCCATAGCAGGGGTTGGGTTTTTTTGGCAGGAGAAGTAGGTACCTTCCAAGTTCCAGGATCTGTAGTGTCAGAAGTGACTTCAGGTCTTGGGTGGCCAGCTTTATGTATTAACCTCCCTCTGTCAGCTGATACTTCTACCACCCACATACAAAGGAAGACTTCAACAAGCTCGTAGACCATTAGGAAAATTGGATGTGTTGCCCTGTACGTTTGTTGTCTTGGGCTATTTTGGCCATACACATAATAATTTTAGGCATATATCTTAAAACATCTTTGTTTCAAAAGTGAATATGTTTACATTAAGGTAAATTATAGAAGAGGAAATATAAAACTATAGGATGTATGTATTTTTGGCATACAGTCAGTGTATTTCAGGTATTTTCCTATTACCTATTTACAGAAGGCAGAAAATGCATATTCTACTGATCTACCATCAAAAAGATCATCTTTCATATTGATTCAACCTCTGTACAAAAATGTGTACAGAAACTTACTATATAGGCCACATGCTAGTCTTTGGCAGTATCACCCTCTCCATGCACAAATATGCCATCTTCTTCTTGCCTACATCGTTGGTGCTAAGACAGTGAATGATAGGGTGGAGGCATTTTTCTGCCAAAGTATTGAATTACATATATAGTAATTGCCATCTTTGCAGGTTTCTGAAGATCCTGGAGAGAGTAGGTCAGCATTAGCCTTGTATAATTTGTTTCGGACAGTTCACCTGAAAAAAAATCATTTTAATTAATTTCTTGATGAATCGATCGTCTTGGATATTTGCAAAGTCTAGTGGACAAAGCAAAACATGTTCTGGAAACCACAAGGGAGTAGTATAGTATTCTACGCCATGGATGACATTTAACATAGGATCAGAATTACAAAATGGAAGGATGAAACCCTTTTTTTTTTTTGTGCATATCGAAAGACTTTAAGAATATGTTTTAAATCCTTTCAAAACTACTTCTCAGAAGAGCTTTTGTTGCACAGCAAGTCACTCTGCTCTATACATAGCAGAGCCAGCTCAATACAGGGGAATATGAATGGTAGAGAGAGCAGCTTTGATACAACTGCCATGGAGAACCTGTAGTGGTAATAAAATGTTCACTTAAATTAAAGAAAAAAATAATGGGCGTACTAATCAGGGTAGATCCAGAACCCAGTCTCGGGGGGCGCACTGTGTTATTATTGAATTGAAATGCAGTATTTTAAAACAGAAAAGTTTTAAAGTGAATTTCAAACTGAATTCAGTTATAGGCATGCAGTTGCTATTTTAGCCATAATTTTGCAGTTCAGATTAAAATTTGCTACACTTTGGAAATTAGTAAATAACTGTCGATGTCTCCTTTTCCACCTGTGCTCCTACCACTCCTCCCAGCTATTACTGACAGCCCGCGCGAGAGGAAGCAGAAGGAGTCAGAGTGTGAACTCTGACTCCCATCAACCTAAGCCATCACTGGACCCCAGGGAAAGTCACTCTCCTGCACCTAAAAGGTATATATGTATGTGTGTCTTGTCTGTATGTATGTATGCCTGTCTGTTTGTATGTGTCTTTGTATGTATGTTTGTCATGTGTATGTGTCTGTCTGTCTGTATGTGTGTGTCTGTCTGTATGTGTCTGTCTATATGTATGTGGGCCTGTTTGTTTGTTTGTTTGTATGTATGTATGTCTTGTCTGTATGTATGTGTGCCTGTCTGTCTTTGTGTGTGTGGCTCTGTATGTATGTATGTGTGTGTTTGTGTGTGTATCTGTCGGGGGGTGAGATAGAGGGGGGGAAATGGGAGGGAAGGAGGGTTGGGCCCCATGGACCAGTTTCACACCGGGGCCCCATGGCCACTGGCTTGCTCATAATATTCTGAGAACATGTGGCATTGTGTTAAACACAGGCAATACAACACTGAACAATGAGTTAAATACATGCAATTTGCAGCTATTTTATAGCTGTTTTATAGGCAAGTAGCAGGTACATAGCAATGGTGACACTGTACCTTGAGAGGAAAAGTGAATGGAGACAAAACCCCAGAAAAACTTATAGAATAAGTTATCTCCACTCAACCTATGCCCTCCGGGCCTTCAGCACTATCCAACCTGTCATTGTTCCTCCAGCAGGTTTGAACACCAGCTGTATGGGACCGCTTGAATTTGAGATGCAGTACAGAGACAGCTGTAGTGTCTGTCTCAGTGAGCATTGTGCCCTCTCCAAGCCTGCACTAAGTCTCTATTCACGTTGGCAAGGATTACTGGAACATCAGGGCCTGATCTGCCTCTGCAGACGAGGTCATGGCGTCAATTGTTCCCACCATTTAGGTGGGCTCTGGCTGGGTCCTCTCTCAAGAGTACCTCTGCCCTGTACCGATGAAGTAGTTTGTCAAGTGGTTGGTTGCAACGAAGGTGCTCGGAGGGCATCCTCAGCAGTATGCAGGTGACAGGTAAGTGTGGACAACCAGTTAGCAAACACTCAATCCAGCATCTCTTGGAGAGAGGGTGCAGAGCTGCACATGGCGCCCGCCATTGTGTGCACAGCAAGCTGGCTGCTACTGGTGCTATATAGTTCGGAACTCACTACCGCAACACAAGTAGAAGGTGCCTGGATATCCAGCACCGGTGGGCAGTGGGAAAGAATAAAGGAGAGACTTCAAGCTTCATGGGCAGCAGCATGCTGAGGGATTGGCCACTTCCACCACATGAACTGTAAGTAGGCCTCTGGTCGGCTGCATGTCTGCTCCAAAAGAAGCCACTGATCTGGGTCAGAAACATGAGTAAAGCATACACCAAGGAGTCCTTCCACCTCTAGGACTTGTTGGTAGTAAATATTCAGGGTTCAGTTGAATAACATGAGCTATTTTATAGCTTTTTACACAGAGCACTCAAGATGTGCCACCGGTAAGCACATCACTGTAGTAATTCATAAACGGAGAATATCTGTTACGGATCCCAGTGGGCCTGGTGCTGACAATTATGAGGGGCCTAAGTACAGAATCTTATCGACCAAAAACACTAAAACAGTCATACCTCTCAAGTGTTATGTATCTGGTGGAGATGTTGCCAGAAGGAAACTCATAGGATGCAGCTATAAGAAAACTCAGATTCTCTTAAAATATGATCATCTCTCTCTAATTCATGCTTTCATCTTTCAAGTAAATCCATACCCCCTAACAGCAGTGTAAAGTGAAGCAGGAAGTCAATGGGCGGTGTAAAAGGGTTGGCCACTGACGCAGATCATGTAACCAGAACTACCGAAAGGGACGAATATGCCCAAAAAGGAGGCATGTCTACCCAAAGAATTGGAAGGCTAGCCTGGCATGAATGCACGTCAGGCTGCCTGCCAATCATGCATGCTGGCCAACAGCATCCTGAGTTTGGCATAAATGCATCCAATGATGCGCTCGCTCCATGCTTTCTAAGGACTGTCCCCTAGCACTCACATGTCTCCTTAACTTGTTACTAGCAGGCAGAAGATCCTGGTATACAGTCTGAGACAGAGAAAAGGTGGATGTAGTGAGTGTAGAAGAAAGGGAATATGCTACAGTGCTAGAGAGATCAAAGTCAGCATTACCTTAACTAATTTCATTTCAGCTAGTCCACACAAGTTTTTTTTTTTTTTTTAAATTCTTTATTTTTGCACACGATAGGCAATGCAAGAATAATACAACTTGGAGGCTTGCGCAGAAACCAAAATATAAAAGAGCATACTTATAAACATAAAAATTGACATCGGCCCATATGACAAGCCACTTTATAAATTCCATACAACTTGCCCCCTATCGAGGATTTTGTGTTTTTTATATAGCTACATTATTTAAATTCCTTATTTTTGCACACGATAGGCATAGCAAGAGCAATACAACTGTGAGGCTTGCTCAGAAGCCAAAATGCTAGAAATCAGACTTGAAAACACGAAATACGACATTAGCCCAAAAGACAAGCCTCTTTATGAATTCTATTCCACTCGCCTCCCATCGATGATGTTGTATCTTTTAGTCAGGCCATGCATCCTAAGAAGGAGCCCTAACTCTATCCATGTCAGGGTGTACTTTAGGCATCCTCAATTCTCCGTCAGTATACTCATGCCTGAGTGAGGAAAGTAAATAATGACAACATAGACTGAGACAATATTAGAAATAAAGAGGTAGTCCACACAAGTTTTGTTGCCATATATCCCTCTTAAGTTTCCATTCTTAAGGAAGAGTATGTAAAGAGTAGTTAGGGTTGCCACCTTTCCTGGAAAAAATACAGGCCTTACTAATTTGCATAACTAATTATGTATGCACGACATCACATTATGTAAATCACAAGGAGTAAGAGAAAATATGTTACTAGGGGACACTGTGACACATGGGGACACTGTGAGACGTGGGGACACTGGGAGACTTGGGGACACTGGGGGACTCAGACTATGTATCGCAGTGTCCCTGTGTATCACAGTGTCTCAGTGCCCCATGTCTCCCAGTGTCCCCATGTCTCCCAGTGTCCCCTAGTGTCTGTGTCCCCATGTAACTAGTGGACACTGAAAGACATGGGGACACAGACACATGGGAACACTGAGACACTAGGGACACAGACACTGGGAGACATGGGGACACTGAGACACCAGGGATACTGGCAGTGAGACATGGGGACACTGAGACACTTGGAGACATTGTGTCCTCAAGTGTCTCAGTGTCCCCATGTGCGTTTCCCCATTTCTCAGTGTCCCCATGTGTATCTGTGTCCCCAAGTGTCTGTATCCCCATGTCTCCCAGCATCCACTAGTGTCTCATTGTTCCCAGGTCTCAGTGTCCCCAGGTCTCAGTGTCCCCAAGTGTCCCAATGTGTGTCTGTGTCCCCATGTCTCAATTTCCCCATGTGTGTCTGTGTCCTCGTGTCTCCAAGTGTCCCCAAGTGTCTCAGCGTTCCCAGAGGTCTCCCTGTGTCCCCATGTCTCACAGTGTCCCCTATTGTCTCAGTGTCCCCATGCCTTTACCCCATCCCTCACTTTACTGAGCTGTAGGCTGTCTCTGCAGGCTGGGAGCTGCTCTCTGGACTCTCTGTGCTGTGTAGATGATCCCCCACGGATCAGTGAGTAGAGAGATGCAGGTATATGCTGTAACTTCCTATCCCTGCCTCTCTCCACACACACAGCGACTCCTACTGCCCAGTGCTGGTATTGCAGAGTAATCTCTGTTTCTACTGAGAAAATGCTGGCATTTGTATTGCCAGTAATACTGCAATATCGGCACGGCCAGGCAGCCTCAAATAAATAACACCCAGGTGGCAAACCTAAGAGTAGTGTGTAAAAAAAACAAAAAACATTTGTTTTCTTGAAAAAATCAATGGGCCTATTTCATGGGCCTGGGCCTGGGCCTGGGCCTGGGCCTGGAGCTGCAGCTCCATCAGCCCCTATGTTAATCCGGACCTGGATCACCTATACTCCAGCAGAGTATATCCACATATAATTAAATTATCTCTCAGGTACAAAAACATACAATATAACAAAAAAAACAAAATACCCCAAAAACACATGAAAACCCCACAAAAGTCACATTGCTTGGTGTTCGGGAGTTTCTGTGTCCGATTTTAGTTCCATGAGATCTACGCCCAAACACCACTGCCTGAGTTTGCGGGACAAGATGGCTGCCACCTCGTGGTCATTCATACGAAATGCGGCCTTAGAACACTGTGAACACTTAGAACACTGTGGTGAAAATTGCTACAAAGTATCAATTGGGCTTAACAAGCACCCGGGTGGTCTCTGGTTTGTGCGGCTGTTCAGTTACGAACAATAGAAGACAAATTGCACAAATTGCACAAACTAGTGTATTTTGCATGGCCCATAATCCTGGGACAGGAGGCTGGCTAGAGGGCTCCTCCAGGAGCCTGTGAAGAGGTTTGGTTTGTCACAATACTGCATTCACACTTAGGAATCCAGGTGCTTATTAGGGCCAGAGTATGCAAAACCCAGTTTAGTAGATAAAATAAATTAGGTCCAGGCACTCAGGGTCGCTGCAGAAAGGCAGCTTTATTGGAACAAAAAGAGCAACGTTTCGTCCTACACGGAGGCCTTTATCAAGCTTGATAAAGGTCTCTGTGTAGGCCAAAACATTCCCCTTTTTGTTCCAATAAACCTGCTTTTCTGCAGTAATCCTGAGTACCTGGACATAATTTATTTTAGATATTTAAATCACTGTCTATAATAGTTCAAGAAATGGGGTAAAGTATTATCAACAAAACTTTTAAATCCTACCTCTCGTAAAGAACAAATTAATAAAAGGAAAATTGTAAATGTACATGATGTTATGTTTAGGTATCTCAACAGCAGTCTAAACGTAAAATAAATGTTACACATTTTTTAAATAAAATGAACTACATAGTTAAGGAATAAATGATTTAACAAAACACGCAAATGTCAGTGTCTCTCCACAGTAAAGAAGGATTAGTATGATACTTTCAAAAACTCTGTCAGTCACCTTGCATTTTTATATAATTACTTACATATGGCATTTATTTAAATATATATCAAACACTTAAGCATATTCTCATATCATTAGACGTCATGCTTTCATAAATCTTTATTACACTCAATAAGATAATAAATAAATGTAGACGAACAGGACATCAGGGGAACGTATCTGCCATTATACTTTCATTCCTTGGTCAGATGTTCTTTCAGCTATCATTCTCCAAGGAAATGACTTATTGTCTACAATCTAAAAAATATCTGAAAATCTGAATGTGAAAGTCATCATTTAAAAATAATATGCAGACATTACCGTTTTGCTGCCATGACGTTAACATAAAAAAACTTAATTATGTTCCGTTCAAAAGAAACAGAAAATCTGTTTTTTAAATGAGTCTGTATTTTTTAGTGAATGATTGTCCGCCTATAAACACCTGAAGATCCAGTAGATAAGGCAGTAGAAAATTGTATTGTCTGTCTAAAACTGTGTTTAAGTAGTACTAAAAATCAGCAAGTGCATTATTAGGAATTTTGACAATGAAGTATAGCTCAGTCAAAATATTCATTAGCTTACAATGCTAATGTCCATTCTTTGTCTCATGACAAAGTAAATTTGGCCAACTGCAGGCTGACTGCTATCAACTTAACATAAGCTGTAATGTAGGCAATATACTTTCTGGTATTGCAATGAGAAATATAATGATTCAGTAAGTATAAGGATATAGGGCACATTTTAGGAAAAACTATGAATAAAATTAATTCTAGGTTTCTATCCACTAAGGGTTGATGGTTGTCCATGAATCCACAAAGTATAGTTTAAAGACCTATATATAAAGCAGGACACAGAAAGGGTTATTCAATAACGTTCAAATGGGGCAAAAAAAATCCATTGTGTATAAGCCATTTGGACGGCAAAATCTGAACATTGTTCATATTATTTAGCAATGTCTGGGTTATGCTATACTGAATAAGCCAAAATTAAGTCTGGATTTCAACCGGACCGAATGCTGACGGAAAGCTAAAATTCAGAATCAAATACTTATATATAGATACAATTGCGACCCTTTGTGATGCATTTGCATGAAATCATACTATGCCTTCAGTGATAAAATTTTAAAGAAAAGTTAGAGTAACAACATGAAAAAAGTTGATGGGTAAGGGAGTAAGAAAAAGGAGAGGGGAGAAAAATAACTGGGGTGGGGGGAAAGGGGTGACTCTCCCATGGATTCCAGCACCATTACCCTCCAAAAACTAGGCCTCAAACTATCCCTCCAAACTATCACATTATTCTTCCCAAGACTGCCCTACTTTATCGAATGCTTGGAGTGTATTTTGAACCTGCACAGTAAGTCATGAGATGGCTATCCTTTATTTTATAAATTAATTTTCAAGGATCTCAATCTCCAACCACATCTATGCCAAATCTGTGTCTAGCTGCCAGTGTGATTCTATTGAACAGGAATCTAACTACGGGCCTTGCAAGCAGGAACAGCCATGGGTCTAGCTCAACAGGTCGTTTAAAAACATAACATCTTGGGGGGCGGGGCCTGACCGCTGAAATGTGAGGAAGCATGTCTCAGCAGCTCCTGCAACTCAGGGCAACCAAAGCGGGTTTAAGACCCCAAAAAGGCACTAAATTGATTCCTAACGGCCACCAAGCGACAGGCGACTATGGGGCGCACAAACAGACACCACACAAGCGACGATGCCCCTCAGGCGCACCCAGACTCAAGACGGGGCCTACCAGCAGGGAGGGCGCGGGGAAGACGGCCGCTTTCCCGCTGCCTGTACCAGCCAGGTACTGGCCTCCGAGCCCTCGTTCCCCCCCCCAGGGACCGGCGGGGGTCATCCCGGTCCACCCCCTCACGATCCCCTTGAAAGGAGATGAGCGGACGAAACAACCGCGCGGTGTGGAAACTGCAGACAAGGCCGACAAAATGGCGGACGGCAACCACGCCTCGGCCCTCCACAAGGCCGGACGAGACACGGAGCTCCGGCTCACCCGCATATTCGACTCCTTCTGGGAGCAGCTGGAGAAACTCGCGTGGCCCTCGGAGCAGGAGGCCCAGCCGGATGGCAAGACACAAGAACCAGCACGAGGGACCCGGATGGGAGTACCGGCATACACCGCCGGCTCCGTACCCGGTCCCCACAAGCTCCCGAGAAAGACCGCCCTGCTAGCGGAGACCCGAAGCCTCACTAAGGGCAACCACAGCCGGACCCAGGTAAAACATACTGGGGGCGCTGCAGGACGAAGGCGGCGCGGAAATCAAACTCACCGTCCGGCCGTGAAACAGCCTAGGAGAGGTACAAACCATCCCATTCACATCAACAAACGGCAGACCACAAAGTACACCATGGGGGCCGCAATAGCACAACGCCACAAGCACAGACTCAGCCTACAGACACACAGTCGGGCAGGGCCCTCTATCAGAGCCACATCCTACCTACCACACCAGATGCCGGCCTACACTCAGACACTCCACCCTCGCATCACCGGACTGGGAGAACCGCAGCTCACATCACAGCAGCAGCAGATGGCACAAGGGGAGCCTCTACAAGGCATCGGATGAACCACACAGCACTGGGACTCATTGCCTAGCAAAGGACTCATCACCTCTTTTATTTTTATTTATTTTTTCTATTATTTTTCTTTTTCTTTATTTTTTTCACTAATTTCTCATAACTCAGATGAACTCCCACAACTGTCTGTATGTAACCGAGCCCTGCACATCCCTTCCAACAACTCACATAGGGGACCATAGAGAGGGAATTCCTCGAGACCAAGCGACTACATATTAAGCATGAAGGCGCATAGACTAACTCAAACCCACGCAGGTTTCCTTGATTGCTCACCACACAACTGTTTGCATTAGCATGTGGAATGTGTAATGATGACACCTTATGCTATAGGCAAGCTCTAGCATTGTTAATTGTTAAGCGTTTTCTTTCGTTCATTAAAATTTAATTTCATGCTACAAAGCATATATAAGAGTAGCGCAACCTGTATATACAACACATATGGTCCAGATATCATTATATTGCAAACCATATCACGACACTACAACTACACTAGCAAAGATGAACGAGCTATGTTAAACGTGGACCACCCTATCTTATGCTAACGTTCTCGCTGTTTGGCTTAAAGTTGTTTTACTTATATAAAAATGTGCAATCTCTCATGCCACTGTCAAACCTAAACGCATCTTCAAACACGCTGTTGTGGCGTATGTCGATAACCTGTAACTCTCTGCACAACAAAAATAAAGAATTCAAAAAAAAAAAAAAAAACATAACATCTTTCAACATCACCCAATAATTGACCACTCTAGGACATTTCCAACACATGTAGATGCACGTCCCATGCAATCCACAACCCCTCAAATACAGGTCAGACGTAGTTCTATCCATATTTTATTGCTGTTGTGTACCACCTTAGTAGCGTCTTATAAGATTGTTTTGGTAATGTTAAACACACTGAGGACTTTGAGATTGCCTCCAAAATATCTTCACAATCACTTCCCTCCCGAGTTTGATTGAGGTCTGTTTCCCATTGGTCTGTTTATCTTAGGTTTCTTCATTCTCCCAACGAGATACATTATATATGTATATATCAGGGTGATAAGACCTTTTTGTGGTGCATCTGTGATTCAAAGCTTTCATGTGATGTTAGTGCAGCTCTTTTAACCAAGCGTAAATAGACATAGCATTGAGAGGTAACACTGTTAGACTGAGATGAGAAGCAAATTTTTTTTTATTCTTTATTTATTTCATTCCACAAGTGATACATCTTGTTATGAGTACTGACATGTATATATAATCCAATGCATCATCAATAAGAGAAAAAATATGTGGAATGAAATGTTTTGTATTTTTAAACGTACTACAATAAAAGTTAATCAACCGAGTAATGTCTGAAAATAAAAAATAAACTTAAAATAATACATAGTTGGATTACAGAGGTGGCTGTGGGGTGGTCTCCCTTGGGTAAGTAAGAGTAGTAAATATCCAGAAAGTTCTGAAGGAGAGGGGAAGGAATCGCCCCGTAAGGTATCCTAACAATCTGTTAACAAGAAGACTGACTAGGAACCAAGGGGGGAGGGGAGTGGATGAGAGGCCATTACTGTAACTTCAATGTGATTACACTAGGGTGAGTGGAGTCTAAGGGGCCTGTTGTGGTGGTTACCTGGTGGGCTTACGGAGTCTGGGCCAGTGTAATTATATATATAAAATCAATAAGTAAAGAAAAATGAAAAACAGCATTAAGCAACAGTGTTGAGCAATGGTATTAAACTAGCAAGGTAGCTTAGTGGAAAGTCCCCAGGTAGCCCTGGGCGCAGCCAGTCAGGTGGCTTCCCGGGAGGTTGAGGGTCGTGGAGATGAGCGTGGAGTAAACTCTGTAATTGTGAAACTCTTTGCTCTGTGGGTAGCTCCTTGATGTGTGAAGAGCAGCAGTCTTGTTGTCCACCATCGGTATGCAACATTTCTGGATCTGAGTTGCTGCAGGAGAGGTTGCAGGGCTTTGTGCCAGGTTTGTGAGCTCCTGGTGAGGTCAGGGAAGAACTGCAATGTGGAGCCCTCAATGTGTAGAGGCGTTTTCCCCCGCACTGATGGTAGGAGAAGGGCCTTATCTTAGAGTGATCTAAAGCGAAGAATAAGGCCAGGGGATGCTGCTGCAGGGGCGGTCACCAGTCTTGGCAGTCTGAACATGCCATCCAGCTGTATCATTTTGGCCTTTTTAGGAGGCAGCAATCCAGTGATTAAGCGCCGAATGTAGTGTGGTAGGTCAGTAAGACTTACTGTCTCTGTTATCCCCGTAATGTTCCCATTATATCCTCTCTGCTGGTCTTCTAGGATATCTACCTTCTCGCTTGTATTGTGTTGTTGTTTCTGGATTTCATTGAGCTTTTTTTCCATCAAGGATAGCCTGTTGTCATAGGCACTCGTGGATGCCTCGAGGAGGGTGATGCTGGAGGTGGCACTTTCAACAGCCTTTCTAAAGAAGGCCATGTCGGCTGCTATGTTAGTCTGGAGTTCGGCCAGCATAGGACATAGCTGAGCCACCGTTAATGGATCTTTGTCTCTGGTGGCCTCGGCTTTCTCCTCTCATTGTATGCCGAACTACACTCTCTCTCCCGTGTCAAAGGGAATATCCTCAGAGGAGTAAGATGACCCGTCTCCGTCGACCGCCATCTTGTCCCATGCGGCCTGTTGGCTGCTTCAGAGGAGTTCACCGATATCTCTGCTTGTAGGCCTTTGTCAGCTTTAGTTCGTTTTGTTTTCCGACCGATATGGCTATCAGGTAGGTAATATCGGGTTTGTAGTCAGGTGTATGCTCTAATTTCACTAATTAAGTGCTGTTTTTCAATCAAAGGGTCCAGAGCCCAAGTAAGTGCATCCACTCAGTTCTCTTGCTAGCTCCACCCCCTGCAAGCCTCATTTTAAAAGTAGAATACAAAAGTTAAACAGAAAACTAAAGATGAAGAAAACTATATGCCAAGAAAAATAAAATAAATTAAAATGGTTACTATACAGCTATGTAACTTTGTCATTTGAGTATGTTGCATATATAACCCCTATAGCTTAGGATGGATTGTTTTTTATATTTACATACAATAATGTGTTTTAGAGCTGTAACACTCTGCCTCCTGGTAATCAAAAATAAATATATTGTGTCCTAATACTGTAAGGCTACTTTTTTTTTAAAGTATGTACTAAAGTTTCTGTTTGTGGTATAGTTGTTCGTCTTGATATATACCATAACTTATAATTGTACAATGGAATACCAATCAGCCCACAAAATTGGCAAAGGGGGAGGGGTGGGTGACTTTCCTCTGATCATTATAGTAGCTGCATAATTTACCCTAGGTGGACCTTTCCACTGAGCATTAAACAGAGGTAACGTTCCTGTGTGGTAGCAATAGAAAGATTAAAGGATATTAGCATAAGGCACTGTTTTTCCTAGGGGATCATTTATTTTTATGTCATTTGTCACCTGTATTTAGTCTTTTTAATAATCATTCGTATATTCACATGAAACATTTATAAAATTGCAAACCGTTATACTCTGAAATCAAATTACAGGAATACAATGTACAGAAACATGGTATCAGTACAAGTAGTTTTTAATGTACATAACAATATTTTTACAATTTCAGATTATTTACGGTGTTCTCACTATTGTTGGACATGCTTTTGATGTTTGGATAAACTTTTAAAATGATCTAATATTATGAAAAACATTTTAATTTTTTAATATTTTCATATATTTTTTATAGGAATATATATTTATTATATGATTTCTTTTTTATATTGTAATATGTTTAAAAAATCATTTTAAAATATCATCCAAAAATATTGTGAAAAAATATTAAAGGACCACTCTAGGCACCCAGACCACTTCAGCTTAATGAAGTGGTCTGGGTGCCAGGTCCTTCTAGGGTTAAACCATTTTTTCATAATTATAGCAGTTTCAGAGAAACTGCTATAATTATGAATGGGTTAAGCCTTCCCCCTAATCCTCTAGTGGCTGTCTCATTGACAGCCACTAGAGGCGCTTGGGTGCTTCTCACTGTGAAAATCACAGTGAGAGCGCCAACGTCCATAGGAAAGCATTGTAAATGCTTTCCTATGAGACGGCTGAATGCGCCGCAGCTCTTGCGCGCGGCGCATTCAGTCGGGCGGGCTAACGAGGCGGAGAGGAGAGGAGAGCTCTCCGCCCAGCGCTGGAAAAAGGTAAGTTATTACCCCTTTCCCCCTTCCAGAGCCGGGCGGGAGTGGGTCCCTGAGGGTGGGGGCACCCTCAGGGCACTATAGTGCCAGGAAAACGAGTATGTTTTCCTGGCACTATAGTGGTCCTTTAAAGGACCACTATAGTGCCTTAGGGTCCCCCTCCCGCCCGGCTCTGGGGAGAGGAAAGGGGTTAAAACTTACCTTTTTCCAGCGCCGGGCGGGGAGCTCTTCTCCTCCTCTCCTCCTCCTCTCCTCCCATTCGGTTGAATGCGCACGCGCGTCAGGAGCTGCGCGCGCATTCAGCCGGTCTCATAGGAAAGCATTTACAATGCTTTCCTATGGACGATTGCGTGCTCTCACTGTGATTTTCACAGTGAGAATCACGCAAGCGCCTCCAGCGGCTGTCAATGAGACAGCCACTAGAGGAATTGGAGGAAGGATTAACCCATTTATAAACATAGCAGTTTCTCTGAAACTGCTATCTTTATAAAGAAATGGGTTAACCCTAGATGGACCTGGCACCCAGACCACTTCATTAAGCTGAAGTGGTCTGGGTGCCTAGAGTGGTCCTTTAAATCAAGGCCTATGTTAGTGACTGTTGACTGTTGACTGTAAATGACTGTTACACGTTCATTTGTTTGTTTTCTCAATTATACTATGTATATAAATGGAATATACTTTGTAGAAAGGATTTTGATAGGCAGGATATTTTTTGCAATTGTTATCTAACCACCCTCTTTGCATATTATGCTTCAAGCATCCAATTCCAAAATACTTTTTCTAACATCAAAACATTTGATGGTTGGTTGCAAATCAGTAGATTGATAATGTACATTTTATTTTGCTGTTCTCCATATAATGATTAATGCTCTGATTTTGGAATTTGAAGCAAAACAATTTGAAGTTTTAACAGTTGAACTGTACATTTTGTAAGATCATGCTAAGCTAGTTTTTTTCAAAGGAATTATCATAAATGTAAACATAGTTTTAACTCAAAGCAATTATCGGGGTTCCTTACATATGACATTAATTGCAATCAACAAATTTAAACATCATCGTCAAAAGCAATTCTAATAAAGATCAGGTTTTTAAGTTCCTTAATAGCAGGTACCATGCACCAAATTTAAAGAGGTGCTCAAGGCTGTACTTAATTGCCCCTTTTAAAATTAATTAGAGATGTAATGAAATAGAAA